GCGCCCTGCGCTCTCCTGAAACCGCTCCGCGCATCCCAGGATCGTTCGCGCCATTCGGCGTTGGGGCGAAACCTGGGCGGAGAGCCGGCCGGATCCAGGCGCCGCGGGGCGGCTGCTCAGCTCGCTTTCCAGCCCGAAGAAGAGGGCGCCTCGGGACCCGGGCAGAAGAAGGCCGGCCTCCCGCCGCTTTCCGCGCCCGGAGTTGGACAGCCGGGCAGGCACCGGCCGGCCACGCACGGCCCACGGAGCCGGTTCCGCCTAGTTTGGGGAGGCCGATGAACATCCCGCCGCCGCCCCCCCGCGCGCCTTGGAAGAGGGAAGGGAGGAAGGGAGGAAGGGAGGCTCCCCGAGGTCAGCTTCAGGGAGGAGGCGCGAGAGGTACCTTGCTGGCTGCGGCCCCTCCGGTCGGTCGAGGGCTCCGTCCGGCCCTGCTTTCCTCTCCTCTACTCCTCTTCTGCGCCACCAGGGAGGGCAGCTGGCACAGGGGAGAAAGGCCTTCTCGGGGGCTGACAGAAAGGAAGGGTGGAACTCTCTGCCACAAGATACAAGGAGGGCCGCTGGCTGGGATGGGATTGGAAGAGGATACTGCTTGCGGACTTGGTCCTCCAGGACAGGCGGGCAGAACTGGAAGGCCCCCAGATATTATGAGGGGCCACTCCCAGGATCGCCACCAGTTGCCCCAGCTAGGGCTGGACGGCAGCAGAGCCCCTGCCCAAGGCTGCGGCTTTTCGGCTTGGCTCCGTTCCTTGGGAGGCAGCATCGGGCGGGCAGCGGATTTGGGTGGGGGCGCATTGTCAGCTGTCCATTTCCTTCTTCTTGGGCTTTTATGGCCGGGGGAGGGGAGAGGGGGGAGGGAGGCACACGTGCAGGACACTCGGCCTCCAGAACCAGAATAACTTGGCTATTTTCAGGGGCTTGGTTGGTGGGCGATGGGTGCGCCCATGGAGGGGCCGGCTGTCAAGGAGAGGATGTTTTGGAGGACGTGCGCTTGGAAGGTCACGCTGAAGTCAGACAGCAGGTGATGCCCCCTAAGAGCAGCAACAGGTCCAGAGGTACCTCTTGGCCAGCTGGGGGAGGAGGCACCACCTCCCCCAGGGTCCCTGGAACTAGGGAGCTCCCCCAGGACATGTTGTGTGGAGGGAGGGGTCTCTGTCGGGCAGCAGGTAGCCATGGATGGGCTCGTCTGCAGAGCCTCTCAAGATCAGCCGGTCTCACGGCTGGGAATCCTTCTTTGCTTCAGGGGCCCACCACGGTGCTGTGAAAGTGGCACCATTTCTATAGGGACTGGCGGTGCCACCGGGTGGTTGAGCTGGCAAGGGGTTTTGTAAGGCCAAGCCGGGAGCGCACAGCCAAAGCCCAGCCCTTTTTCTCATTGGCCTGGGCATGCAGGGGCCAGCCTGCTCCCTTGAGCAAGCCCTGCCCTGGCAGACCCGTTTGCCTGGGGAGTGTGGTTTTGGGCACCCACGGCTGGCATGCAGCACCTGCTAGGGCGGGACATGGCAGCTGCCAGTGTAGATGCCCAAGAAGGAAGAGGAGCCCCAGACAGCTCCTGGAAGCTGCCTGGTGGGGCTAAATTTGACCAGGGGCACAGCCCTTCAAGGGACACCCACCGGCCCAGCTGGTCTAGGGCAAAGCCAGACTCTCTTCCCCCTGCCTCATGCCCCCTTGGCCCCTGTTGCCTCCTGGAACTCTAGGCTTTCCCACATTTTGTAGAAGATGCATGCCCTTCCTCTGCCCTTCCGTGTCTCCCCAGTAATGCTGGGGAAACTGCCACGAAAAATCCCTTTTCCCCAGGATCTCCCTGCTTCCTGCAGGAATTGGGACCTCGACTCAGGAGGTCCTGGTGATGCCGGGCCACAGATCTCTCACAACCAGTATTCCTTTAAAAAGGGACGACTCTGTTCCCCTGCAACGTGCCAAGAAGCTCCTGGAGGGCAGAGGTACAGGAAGAAAGGGTGATCCAGGTAGCCAAACCAGCATTTGATTTGGGGCAGATCTTCAAAGCTCCCGGGTCAGCTTTGCGGATGGACGAGCAGGCTCGCCCAGCCCGTTTGGCCATAGAGGTAGCTGCTCCTGCTCCTGCTGAGTGCTAATTACGCCACAGGGTTATATGAAACTGTCCTAGGCAAGGTCATCTTTCTCCCCCCCCCCGCTACACACACACAAAGGTCCATGGAAATTGCTAGGGTGCAATCATGCCCCCTAAATGCCAGGGTTCCGTTTTTGCCAGAGTCTCCCAGAGTTCAATGGAGCTTCTCTTTCTACAGGGTGGTGTTGACAATGCCACACTTAAACCATGGCTGGCCAGAAGAGGCAAGCTGCACCTCAGAGGACACCCACAAATGCTGCTGGAACCTCCTCTCCACTTGTTAGGAATGGATCCATCCCTGCTCCCCGGAATCCTCTGTGCCACGGGCAGCCCCACGTGGGTGGGAGTGGGGGTGGGGGTGGGGTGTGTGGCAGGGCTGACTTAAGAGCTGCCAGCCTGACAGGGTGTTCGGCAAGGGAAATGGAGACTTCCCCACTCAGCTCATGTCCTGGGCAGGTGTGCATTTCTGCATGTGCGCATGCGTGCGTGTGGGCATGTGCGCAAACAACCACCCACACAAATCCCAGTTTCTAGGCTCACTTCCTGCTCTGCAGACACTCTGGAAGCAAAGGACAATGGAAGCTAAGCATGAGCGGATCAGTTAGAGAACCCAGTGAGCTCAGAGAGAATGAGAGAGAGAGAGAGAGAGAACATAGCCAGGGTGGTCCCAACCCGGGAGGGGTGCCAGACGGAATCAGTAGGCCAGCCAAGCCAGGCCTGGCACTGCAGGCAGGAATGCCAGGGGCAGCCCTTGCTGAGCAAGGGGTGGTCCCACCTGGAGGAGTGAAGTAAAAGGGCTCAGCAGGTGGTGGTGGTGGTGGTGGTGGGGGTAGAAGGGCCTTTTCCTGGATGGACCACTGAGATTCTCCCCTGCTGCCACCACAGCTGCTCCTGCCAGCAGTGGGCCGGTCCCCTGGGCTCTGTGGCCACAGTGTGGCAGAATCGGCGGCAGGGGAGGGGGGAGAGATCTGCATCTGCAGGACACAGCCAAGGGGTTGCCACTTCAATTGCGCCCAGCCCTGGGGGCAGAGAAGAAAGCCCTGCCCCTCCCCCCCAAAAAACCGGTCCCATCCTTTCTTGGGTCCTGCCAGGTTTCATCCAGCCCAGCTCCCCCACAGCTGCCAAAAGCTCCCCTCAGGGAATTCACCCAAGCAAGGGCTGCTCATTTAGGGCAAAGGTTAGAGCTGGTCCCTGCTGGTGAGGACTTTACAGACACTGTATGCCTTTTTCACTCAGCTATGCACTGGCTTCAAAAAGAAAGAAAGAAAGAAAGAAAGAAAGAAAGAAAGAAAGAAAGAAAGAAAGAAAGAAAGAAAGAAAGAAAGAAAGAAAGAAAGAAAGAAAGAAAGAAAGAA